GTGAACCTCCATGTGCAGATTTCGTGGCAGGCACAGCACTTTGTGAACCTCCATGTGCAGATTTCGTGGCAGGCACAGCACTGTGTGAACCTCGAGGCGCAGATTTCGTGGCACAGCACTTTGTAGTACAACTGTAGCACGCGGAGTATCTGCGGAGCTGGAAGATGAGAACTAGCGACTTTGTAGTACAACTTTCGTACGCGGAGCAAACGGTGGAGCTGGAAGCTGAGAACTGGCAACTTTGTAGCCCAACTTTAGTGCGCGGAGTATCTGGGGAGCTGGAAGATGAGAACTGGCGACTTTCTAGTGCAACTTTAGTGCGCGGAGCAATCTGTGGAGCTGGAAGCTGAGAACTGGCGACTTTGTAGTACAACTTTAGTACGCGGAGCATCTGTGGAGCTGGAAGCTGAGAACTGGCGACTTTGTAGTACAACTTTAGTACGCGGAGTATCTGGGGAGCTGGAAGATGAGAACTGGCGACTGTCTAGTACAACTTTCAACTTTAGTACGCGCAGCAATCTGTGGAGCTGGAAGAGGAGAACTGGCGACTTTGTAGTACAACTTTTAGTACGCGGAGCAATCTGTGGAGCTAGAAGCTGAGAACTGGCGACTTTGTAGTACAACTCTTGTACGCGGAGCAAGCCGTGGAGCTGGAAGCTGAGATTTGGCGACTTTGTAGTACAACTTTAGTACGCGGCTGAGTCATCTCTTATCTGTATTTTGCAAAATGCAAGACAGTTGACGGCGGTTGCTTCGCTTTCGCTCCATTGGTCGGTTCCAACTTGTTTTGTCAAAGAACATCGCAGCGCGGCGAATCAGCCTGCCACATGCCCATTTCCTATAGGTTTATTCTTTTGGAAACTTCCGCCGCCGGCTTGCCCGGGAACTACTTGTACATTACGCATCATCATCATCGTCATCGTCATCGTCATCGTCATCATCATCATCATCATCATCATCATCATCATTCAACAACACCATCATGATCATCATCATCACCATAATACTTTATCATACAGCATCATCAGCATCATCGTCATACATATGCAGACATTATACATCATCATGCACCTGTGATCGGTCGTTATCGTTTGAACCCTTTCATGCTTACTCCTTGCTTTCGGGCCACCCTGTCGTCTAGTTCTTTTCCTTTTCTTCATTTTTCTAAGGCTGGTTAGGTGGCTACTGCGGCACTTTGTGTGTGCATCGCACTCCGTATCCATGAGTTTATTTTAAAACCTTAAAATGCAATCTGCAGGGGGCCATCCCTCTCACCATTGGTGGATGGCCACCGAAGAGGCTAATGGTGAGGGCTGTAAACGTACCTGCAGTTCTAATTAGAGCAACAGAAGGAAATGGTACTCGACACACTTGTGTGTCGGTGCCTTTCCTTCTGTTGTCCCTGTTCTAGTTTCCTCTACCCGGGCGATCTCGCTCCCTATAACTATTGCACGGCCGTAATTCAAGTCCGCTAAGCATTCAGTAACTAGTTGTAAAGGGCTACTGCGAAACAAGTTGCTAAAACCATTTTGCTGACTCCGCCACCTTGCTGTTCCCTCACTCCTTTCCGCGTGGATTCTGGTACTGAATGAACCTTTATCTAAGTGTGTCGCACTCCGTATCCAGGAGTTTTATTCTTTTTGAACAAAACAAGTGGGGGACCAGGCAGGATACATCGCCGCCTGGTCAACGAAGCTGGCGATGTATCCGAGGATATGGAAATCGGACACCAATCATTTCCACGCTGAATATTGAACTGTTGTCCTCCTTCCGCTGTCTTTTTGTTTCCATGGTCCGTTCATGATAATCCCAAAAACCTTTTCAAGAGACCGTTTCTGCAGCCTTGCAAACGCTGAGCCGCTGACGTTGTCATGCATTCCAACCAATGTTTAACATTTCAAGTGAGCTGACTTTGCACCTTGCCGTTCCCTTGTTCCTTTCACTGTGGATTATGGCATTGGATGAGCCATATCTAAGTGTGACCCGCTGTGTTCTCCCACTCGGGTGCACAGTGTGATCCTCCTGCAAGGGAGGCGCCGAATCCATCGTGAATCCCATATCGATTCAGCGTTTTGCGCTCTTGGATTATGGTTTTGGATTCCCTTCGTTTCACCCATGAATCAACTGATAACAAAGCTTACGCATTTCTCGCCGCCGTGCTCACGGGACTTATCGCAGCACATTTCGCACGCTCCACATGTCCATTTTCGAGCGTCTTGATTTACACCTATCTTTCTCTCTTGCCCTTTTCGCTTGCTTTTTCTGTCTTTCTGCCTTTTCTTTTCTACAGCTTGTTAGGTGGCTATTCATGTTCGTTGACCCTGTAAGTTGCCGTTCAGCAGACATGCGCGTCACTCACTACTCCTCTTTTACTCTCTTGCCCTCTTCGTTTTGCTCTTTCAAGCCTCTCTCCCCTTTCTAAGGCTTGTTAGGTGGCTATTTAGTTTTTGCGGCAGACATGCACGCCCCTACGCCTATCTTTCCTTCTTGCCCTCTTCGTTTTGCTCTTTTTCTTTTTCTTTTCTAAGGGTTGTTCGGTGGCTATTCAGGTTTCTTGCCGCAGTGAGCGCACTGTGGCACCTTGTGTGTGTCGCACTCCGTATCCAGGAGTTTTATTCTTTTTGAACAAAACAAGTGGGGGACCAGGCAGAATACATCGCCGCCTGGTCAACGAAGCTGGCGATGTATCCGAGGATATGGAAATGGGACACCATTTCCACGCTGAATATTGAACTGTTGTCCTCCTTCCGCTGTCTTTTTGTTTCCATGGTCCGTTCATGATAATCCCAAAAACCTTTTCAAGAGACCGTTTCTGCAGCCTTGCCACCACTGAGCCGCTGACGTTGTCACGCATTCCAACCAACGTTCAACATTTCAAGTGAGCTGACTTTGTACCTTGCCGTTCCCTCTTCCTTTCGCTGTGGGTTATGGCGTTGGATGAACCATATCTAACATATTCTGGCCCAAAAACGTCAAGTCTACGCAGGTGTTTCCAGAAGCAACTCCGCCAATACCAAGGCGATGTTCGCAGCAGGGCGCCGGAGGCGCCGGCCATGTGGCCCTTACTGGCTTCGGCCAAGAAACGCAGGTTTGTTGCGCAGTTTAGAGCTGGGGTGTTGAAACATGTTGAAACTCCGCGCAGGCTGTTGCGCTACGATTTGGCGATCCGCGCGTGGTTCGTTTTGCCCGAAAGGAATGTGACAGCGGGCCCAGCGGGCCCTTTAGCCAGGAGAATGTGGAGCTTCATGTGAGGGATCGTGGCGCCACGCTCTTCAACTTCTACACTCAAGGGCACCCCTCTGACGCTCCCAGTTTGACAGCCCACTGGGCCAAACCTGTGACACCAACGCCACCCACGCGGGCCACCACAGCGTCTCCAAGCACAAAAAGGACAACGAGGTTGCGTGGACCTCTGTCGACGCCGTCGAGACCTTTGTCAGCCCTGTTGTCCCTTGGACATCGGCGTGCGAGGCCCAGCTGGGCGAGTGGTAGAGATCGTTCGAAAAAAACCGCAGATTCTAATTCTTGTAGAGGCTTCCAGGCTTCGAGCATTTTGGAGAGAACCGAGGTTCAGCTGACATCGTCATCAAGCAGAAGAACGCCTCCGCCGCGCGACGTGTGCGGATGCACGAACTGCAAAGAGGCATGATTGACCATGATGAGGCGCGGGCGGTGCACGGCCCCAACAGCCAACAGAAGAAGATTCTGATCACAGCCACTTGATGACAGCAAAGTACCACAAAGCAGAATATACTTTAGAGCAATGATTGCTCTATATTTTTTGAATCGCTACTGTACCCGCAGCTGCTGTTGGTCGCATATGTTTCTTTTGGGGTACTATCCAGGAACGGCTGGCAGAGGTTGCGCGAGGGACTTCGCCATTGCTTGGGGCCAGAGGCTGGGAAGACTGGAGCTATGGCCCCAATCATGTTGGCATAGGCATAGGCATCAAAAAAGTAGCGAATCAAAAACAAGATGACCCCGGGAACCCAAAAGCAAAAACCACAAAATATTTTCAGCTTTTTCACGGCAGTCACCATGAATTGGATCAGCCGGGAGGGCCATCCAAAGGAGCTCTTGATATAAGCTGGGCACAGTGCAACGTCACATGACATGTTGTTGGGGCTTATCCGCGATCCAACGCTATCCGGGCACCGCGTGGTCGTCCGCAGCGTCCGCATCCAATCCTCGCACCCCCGCGCTGCGCCACATACAGTTGCAGAACAGCAGCTCCACAACAGCGCCGAGTGGTCATCCGCAGCGTCCCCATGCAACGCTCGCGCCCCCCCGCTGCACCACATACAATCGCAGAACAGCAGCTCCACAGCAGCTCCGTGTGATCATCCACAGCGTCCCCATCCTGCCCCCATTGGCTGGTTTTGCGAACGTCTGCAGTTTTACGTACAAACCCCAGCTGGACCACACGCAGTTGCAGAACAGCACTGCGTGGTCATCCGCAGCGTCCCCATCCAACCCTTGCGCCCCCCGCTGCGCCACATACAATTGCAGAACAGCAGCTCCACAGCAGCGCCGTGTGATTTTTGCGAATGTCTGCAGTTTTACGTACAAGTCCCAGCTGGACCTTCTTGCAGAACAGCAGCACCGCGTGGTCATCCGCGCGTCCCCATCCAACGCTCGCGCCCCGCCGCTGCGCCGCATACAGTTGCAGAACAGCAGCTCCGAAGCAGCGCCGCGTGGTCACCCGCAGCATCCCCATCCAACGCGCTCGCACCCCCCGCTGGACTAGAGTTGCAGAACAGCAGCTCCACAGCAGCACCACGTGGTCATCTGCAGTGTCCGCATCCAATGCTCGTTCCCCCCCCTGGGCCACATAGAGTTGCAGAACAGCAGCTCCACAGCAGCACCGCGTGGGTCACCGGCAGCGTCCCCATCCAACGCTCGCACCCCCCCCACTCAACCACATACACTTGCAGAACAGCAGCTCCACAGCACCACCGCGGCGTACTCCGCAGCGTCCGCGTCCAATGCTCGACCCCCTCCCGGTTAGCAGACTAAACAAGAACCCAAACATCGGAGATGCTTTTGGGAAAAAAGTGTTCCGCACATGACATACAATACATGCATTGTAGACAAGCAAACTGACCGCTACACTGACCTAACTTAACCCTAACCTAACCTAGCTTAACTAAACCCATTCTAATCCAACCAAGCCAAACCTGACCTGGCTACTCCTACACTCATTCCTATTGCCGTTGCTACTACTACGACGACGACTACTACTACTCCTACTACTCCTACCACTACCACTACCACTACTACTACTACTACTACTCCTCCTCCTGCTGCTGCTGCTGCTGCTGCCACTACCACTACTACTACCACGACGACGACGACGACGACTACCACCATCACCACTACTACTACTACCACTACTACTACTGCTACTACTGCTACTACTACTGCTAGTAGTACCACTACTACCACCACCACCACCACCACCACTACTACTACTCCTGCTGCTGCTACTACTACTACTCCTACTGCTGCTACTACCACTACTACTGCTACTACTACTGCTACTACTACTACTGCTACTACTGCTACTGCTTCTGCTTCTGCTACACCTACTACTGCTTCTACTACTACTACTACTACTGCTACTACTACGACTACGACTACGACTACGACTACGACTACTACGACGACTACTACTACCACTACTACAGCTACTACTACAACAACAACTACTACTACTACGACTACTACTACCACTACCACTACCTCTACCACCTCTACTACTACGACGACGACGACTACTACTACTACCACTACCACTACCACTAACCACTACTACTGCTACGACTACTACTACTACTACTCATACTACTACTACTACGACTACGACTAGGACTACTACTACTACTACCACTACTACAACAACAACTACTACTACTACTACTACTACGACTACTACTACCGCTACCGCTACCTCTACCACTACTACTACGACGACTACTACTACTACTACGACGACTACTACTACTACCACTACCACTACCACTACTACTGCTACGACTAC